GCATGCCTCCAATTCTCCTTCTCAAAGTGACACTTTCCACTCCGAGCAGCCTCAATCTAATTATTGCAATCAGATGCACATTCTTCCCAGTGATCATAAGGAATGTTGCATTTCTTCAGCGCATCTTAGTTTTGACGGCATTTCTCCTCCCTGTTCCTAGTTCACCATCAAACAATTGCTTTGGAATGCGGTAGTCATCCATTCTGCCAAAGTGACCTGCCCACTGAAATTGATGTTTTAGTATCAAGGACTCAACACCTTCACAGCCGCTCCAATCTAGCATGTCTACATCATTAACAAATATTTGCCAAGTAATGTCAATGATACGACGTATTCAGTACTGGTGAAATCTCTCAAGCCTTTTTCATTTGTCCGCGGTAAACCACCCACGTCTCGCAAGCGTAAAGAAGTGCATACATACACACATACATACACACATACATACATACATACATACATACATACATACATGCACAATTGTTTTATTTTTTTTAACCTGACATTATTTCTTACGACTATAAACGTTATTTTTAGTGGGACATGAGTTTGAGTTGCTACCCCTGTTTCTTTTTATTTAAAGCATCGGTGTAGATTAAAATTTTGTCTCCCGACAGAAATCGAACCTGTATCCCTTTTCCCATAGGGTAAATAATCCGGAGTTCTTTAATAGTTTTGTATTTTTTTTTTTAATATTTTTGTTTTTGTGCTCCATACATTCTCTATCCTATCGTTTTGTCGTATTCCTATCCATACTCAATCTCTCTCTCCGTATATATATATATATATATATATATATATATATATATATATATATATATATATATATATATTGCTAATCAAATATACTAATCAAAATAACCTAGCGAAGACTAATATGATGTATCAGGTTCAATGCCTAGTACAAAACTGTGTTTCTTGTCATAAATCAATTAGCTATAGCGGTCATCCCACCATCTCCTTGATCGGACGCCTAATTTATCTAATTAAATGCCATAAAAAAACACTTAGCCACCCACAAATTACAGCAACCAATAAGAAAGATTCTGATTTATAAAAAGTAGCATCCTACATAGGTCCTGTAACAGAAGATTTCACGCTGCGAGAGAGGTCGGCCCTTTTCATAAAACATCTGACATCTAATGTAAATCTCGACTTATTCAGCAGCGGAAATGGTATTTTGAAGATTTATTTTAATAGAAAGACGCCAACACGAATTCCACCAGCCACGCTCAATTCACCAGGCTCGAAATAAACGCTACTATTATCTAGACATCAGAAAATCCACATCTTAAAGAGACAAATATGAAAAGAAATTAACAACATTTAATAACAAAACCTCCTTGAAACTGGGTTAAGAAGAGACAGCGAGTGTTTGGCACAAAAGAAATTACAGACTATCTTTATGGACCCGAACGGAAAAAATATAAGAATATTGAAAAAAAAAACTAAATAAAAAATTAATCAAATATTCTTTGTCTTCCGTATACATCGAAACATGTTTGAAAGAATGGTTGTTTCTCAAATATACATTAGACACACACACGCACGCACGCACACACACACACACATATATATATATTATATTTTATTATAAGAGATTATAATAAAATCATTTTACATCGCTACACAAAAATCAGAAATATAAGTAAATCCTACAAACTGTGGATTTTTTCACTGCTTTTTCTCTTATTTGTACACAAAAGAATACGAGGAAATATTTGCTTAACCAAACTGACGCTTAGGGGGTGAATTGATTTTTTTTTTGTGAATCTATCATGGTGATATTTTTAAAGAGTACTATAATAGGAAATGCGACCAAATTCGTCTCTTATATATATATATATATATATATATATATATATATATATATATATATATATATATATATATATATATATATATATATATATATATATATATATATATATATATATATATATATAAGGTGAGACGGAGTTAGTGGCATTTCCTATTATTGTATTCGTTAAAAATATCACCATGATACCTTCACAAAAAAAAAAAAAAAAACATTTCACCCACTAAGCGTCAGTTTGGTTAAGCAAATATTTACTCGTATTCTTTTATAACTTGCTACAGATCAATAAAACGTAACTACGAACAGAATTTTTATTAAACCTGCCCACAAGAACTGTCATATCGCTATTATACGAGCATCCATAATGACAGTTTTTTTTTTTTAACAAATGCCAGACACTTAAGCTATTAGCGCCATCTGCATTACAATCGCATTTGTCAATGAAAAGTCAGCCGATAGAAATAGCGCACATTATCAGGGTAACAAAAACTGCCATTTTGCAAACAGAGACGTTTGCATAATAAAAACAAGGTGTTGTTGATCAGTTGCTGCCCGTATTTTTCAAATAAATTGAAGGAGAAAGATAAAGATATAAAATAACATTTATTTATAACCATTTCACCCCAAAGAAGGCAACAGAGCCCCTAACAGACAGGGAGATTACAGAGTGGGAAAGAATGTAAGAAAACAATTTAACGATAGAGAACAATAAAAGAAGAAAAATTAAGAAGACAGAAGATAACGATTGAAATAGCAAACATTATTTTTTGTCCTCATTCAAGAAACTGGTTGAAAGTTCCATAAGCGAGAAGTGCAAGAGAAGAAACTATCAGCATAGAACTTACGATTTGTTCACCGCAGAAAGTTCTAGACAATTTTTCTCTACAGAATCTCTCATACAAATTTACAAGTCTACCCTTCGTCCATGTTTATAATATCGCTTTCATATTTGTTCTGGTTGATTGAACATGCATCGACAGACAGCTGAACAGTATGATATATATATATATATATATATATATATATATATATATATATATATATATATATAGATAAAAGAGAGAGATTGAAAATTAGACAAATACAGTGATTTTCTATACATTACTTAGATGTGGCACAAGGCTGAAAGTATGAAGCACCAAGTAAACACTGAATTCACTATTTAGTTTTAATAGTTATAGGGAGACAAGCTTGCTCTCCATTACACCCCATGAAGGTGCCCAAACGATTTTCTAGACACAATGCCGAAAATATGGAATTCCCAGCCGTAACTGATCTAGCGAGACAAGCTTGTTAACCATTGCACCACGTCTAAGGGCCCAAGAACTGTCAAATATGAATATATATGTAGATAGATAGGTGTCAAACGTTTTCGATTAGGTTCATGTTCGGTTATTGCCGACTCAAGAACGGAAATATACAGCCATTTTCTATTAGATCTGTTTATGAGTATGTCGTAGAATGGCAGGATAGATAGATAGATAGATAGATAGATAGATAGATAGATAGATAGATAGATAGATAGGAATAGACTGAGATAGATAGATAAATAGATAGATAGATAATGAACTGACATAGATAGATAGATAGATAGATATGAAGAGTGTGATGTAAACAAAACATGTAGTATCACAGAGGAACAGATATATAGATAAAGTGATATAAGAAGAAACAGGTTCATAAATAGATATGAACAGAGTGATATACAGAGAAAGAGATTTAAATACAGATGTATAAATAGATAAGTAGACATTGTGATATATATATATATATATATATATATATATATATATATATATATATATATATATAGAGAGAGAGAGAGAGAGAGAGAGATAGTCACTGCTTCCACTCCTCAAGTATGATTTATAATATTTTTATATGAAAATCGAACTTGTAAATAAGGAACACGGCACATGGAAGAAGAAGAAGAAGAAGAAGAAGAAGAAGAAGAAGAAGAAGAAGAAGAAAAGAAGAAGAAAACTGAAATTAATTGTTTTGTTTTTCTGTAAATACGAGATGTACAGGAATGAAAATGTAATGTATATTTGAATTCGAACTATGCGTGACAGCTACACCAACAATTTATAACAATTGCTCTCTATTCAATAAAAAAGTTAAAAAAAACTAGAAAGTAATCTTGTGTTGACAACATAGATTATTAAGCTTTTTTTTCTATTAAAATCGTACCACTATTTATCAATTTCTGATTTCTATTGATCTATGTTGGATCAATACTTGTTGGAATCATTCCTGTGTCTCTCCAGAAGCCCTTCTTACTGGTGGATTCTCATCCAGTCCTGCAAATATGTAAATCTGCATCATATCCTTTAGGTGATGCTACGATTACATATTGCTTATTCCAGTATCATGTGCGTTCTGTATAGCTGCAGAATATCCTGTATTTATCACTCGTCACAATTTGTTTTAAGAACAGAATATGTAATACGGTCCAGCATTATTTTTCATACTTTAACTTATGTGGAATCCACACATCAAAGCGATTAACATACCCAATGATAATTAAACAGTTAATTTGTATATTTTGTGTATGCTGGCTGTCTCGCATTTTGCATAATACTTTTGAATACGTGTAATTCTGCTAGTGATGGAGTATCTTTAAGATTAGATATAAACTTAAAAGACGCTCAGACAAGATGCTTCCCTATGGCAAGATCCATTAGAGAGGTAAACCAACAGGTGACGATAAGATTTTTGACAACCTGTTGAAATGCCCCCACTTTGTCTCAAATTCTCGCTGCCTCATAGAAACGAAGCTACGACCATTGATGCTCGTAAAATTAAACAAAATGAAAATAGAATTATTCTTCGTTCATGCTGTTTTTCATGTAGCGTTGGGATTTGAACAATTCAATGAAGGGAGGAAACGAATTGCAACATCTTCTGGGCCACCCGACAGTTGATCATCATTCAACGAGTAATCTTACTCCGCAGAGCTCTCTCACTCCTAATAACGACCGATGGCATACCTGACAGCGAAATCCGAATGCGCATTGAAATAGCAATAGATGTCTTCCAAAATACGAAACAAATTGTTAAGAAACAGGAAGATTTCCCTACAGATAAAATATACTAAATTGCTTTGTATTACCAGCCGTCTTATTTGACTGTAAATGCTTTACTCACAGTAAAAGAGAAGGCTTGAGACAACAGAAATGTTTTTTTAAAAAAAGGATCCTGAGAAAAGAGTGGGTGGAGAGAGAGAGAGAGAGAGAGAGAGAGAGAGAGAGAGAGAGAGAGAGAGAGACTGAACATATTGAGGAAGGAAGGTGGTCTTGAAAATTTTGCCACTCATAGGACGATCTGGTGTAAATGGTTGGCAGAACGTAGCTGTGAGGAACGCTAAACATACAAACCTAAGAGCTATAAATGACTGGAAGTTGTTGAGGACCATAATCGACTACGTCCTAAACGGACACGATACCTGGGAAAATCACTTAAGGACGTGAATGATCATAATTCGCCACAAATTTAATTTCCCTTTTGGCTCCGCCTTATTACTAATCTGCGTCCCTGCAATGAAGTCAGACATTCACACTATTTATGTTGCTTGCTCGATTATTCTTTTTGATTCTCTTGCCTTTGGTATATCCTTAAAGTGTTAAATTCTCCACGCCGTCTTTCCTCGCAAAAATTAACTTTTATTTTTCTGATTCTAAGTAAAAATCTCCTTTAGTTTCAGTTTATCATAAATGATCCCCCATTACTCCCCTGCTTAATCTATTGTAATGTTAGCATCATTCTGTAGAATCATGGTCTCAGTCGTTTATTGTCTACTCTTCATCCGTAATGACATTTTTCCTATCTCTTATTATTTTCCTTAGCTTCTGGAAGGCTTATTTATTCATTCTTACGTCCCTTTGGATTTAAGCGACACCTATTCTGACGTTTCTTTCTGCAATACACCGATATTTAAATTTCTGTATTTAATTGATTCTGACGTCACCAACTCGTAACTTTCAATTTGAACTCTCTCTTTCTCTTTCTCTCTCTTTCGTTCTCTCATGCTGACGACCATACATTCTCTCTTCTTTCAGTTAACGACCTGATTTTTCAGCGATTACAGCGACACCGCTTTTCCTGGGGAGTTAATTGAAGGAAAAGCTCTCATCGAAATTTATCGATATTTTGAATATAACTTTACTGCAAGGCAACGAAAGTTTAAATATAATTTTAGGTTCAACAGTAATATTCACTCTTGTTGCGCACGATGTGAAAATGACTAGAAAGAAAAAAAAACAAAACAAAACCAAAAAAAGGTGTCACGTGACCCACACTTGTAAATAAACACGCTAAAAGCTAAAAAGTTTTAACGAGTTAAAGTATTCAACTTGCTCTTTACGTGGAAGGTTGCCACACGACTTTTTAAAAAGTGGATAAAAATAAATAAATAGATAAATAATAATAATGTTTTATCCTTGCTGCACAGGACGAATGCTTGTTAACTAGGAATTATCAAGCACACATACTAAAATATTGTGTTAACCCAAAATGCAGATTCCGTGATAAATATCCAGAAATAATTGATCATCTTGTATCAAGTTGCACGATATTGGCACGCACTGAATATAAACCCCGGCATGACAGAGTTGGCCAATATCTGCACTGGAAAATCTGCAACTTCTACGGGAAGGAAACTGAAAGTAATTGGCATGATAGCCACCCAGACCCTGTTACGGAGATAGGACCTGTAACAATTTAATGGGACTTCAAAATAGACACAGACAAATTAATCAAAAGCTCACTGTACAGACATTGTCATTAGAGACCGCAAACAAAAAATTGCATCCTTATTGAAATGGCAGTCCCTGATGACTGCAATGTATCTTTGAATATCTTCAAAAAGCTATCGAAATACAAGGACCTTGAAATCGAAATGTCAAAAATGTGGCACATGGGAACATCTACAATGGCAGTTGTAGTTGGAGCCCTCGGATTGGTTAAAAAAAGATACCCGTAGACTAATTGAAGGGATTCCTGGAAACCCATGCCTTAAAGAAATAAAAAAAAAAGTTCTCACGAGTACAGCCCACATCTTACAAAAGGCTTTATCTATGTAAAATATGTGTGTGTGTGTTTTTTTTCTTAGTTGATCAGTGGAATAAGTCATGATGCGATTTCAATAATTAGGTCACTGGGCGGGACCCGGAAAGAAATGTGTACACACCAGAAATCAAGGAAATAATAATAATAATAATAAGGAAAAGTTACATTTAGGAAAGGGAAAATTATAGAAACACCCTCAATAGATTTAGACTTTGTCACAAAGATTAGGGAACTGGAATAAGATGAAGCCTATAAGTACCTAGGGATTATCGAAGCAGATGGTATACAACGTACCCAAATGAAGGAGAAGGTAAGAAAGTGTGAGTATGGTAATACCGAGCTGAATTCAAAAAACAGGATACCAGCCATAAACACCTTAGCTGTCCCTGTGTTGCAATACAGCTTTAACATGCTTAATTGGACCATAGCTGACATTAAGCGAATGGATGCCAAAACGAGAAAGCTTTTCACTTGCTATTGCATGCATCATCCCAAAGCTGATGTTGGTCATCTGTATGTGACCAGATCCGAAGGAGGTAGAGGATTAGTTCAACTAGAACTGTCCTACAAAACTACAGCAGTTGGCCTTCAAAGGTACCTGGTAACTACAGAAAACTGAATGATGATATGTGGCAAAGAGTATGAAAGTAGTAAGTATCTTAGTTACGTAATAAAAGAAGCCGACAAGTTCAAAATGGAGTTTCATATGGATGCAGAAATACAAGTAAAGCACAATACACCGACTGGAGCTGCAAAATACATAAAAAAAGAAAGCAAAGACACATGCAACCGACCAGACAGAGAAACAATGACAAGATAGACAGCTTTCTGGCCAATACTCTACCCGTACCAAACAAGCTGATGTAGACAAGCATCGTACCATTCAGTGGCTACGTAGTACAGGGTTAAAAGCTGAAACAAATGGTTTTATCCCTGCTGTACAGGATCAGTGCTTGTTAACTAGAAATTATCAAGCACACATACTAAAATATAGTGTTAGCCCAAAATGCCAAATTGATCATATTGTATCAGGCTGCAAGGTATTGGCACTCACTTGAAATCGAAATCTCAAAAATATGGCACATGGGAACAACAACAATCCTTGTTGTAGTTGGAGCCCTCGGATTGGTTGGAAAATATTCCAGTAATTGAAGGAATTCCTGGAAGAAATACAGAAGAATGTTCTCACGAGTTCAGCCCACATCTTACGAAGGGCTTTATCTATGTAAATTTAATTTTTTTTTTTTTTTAATTGTTCAGTGGAAAATGTCCCAATGCCATTTTTAACCTTAGGTCACTGGGCGGGAAAGATGTGCGTACAAACCAGAAATCAAAGGAAATAATAATAATAATAATAATAATAATAATATGCCATCTTTACTGATAAGCGCTTAGAGAGCAATCACCCTGATATCCCATTTGAGAGAAGAGCAGCCACAAATATATCCTGAAAAATGTTGCGAAAATAAAAAGTTACCAAGAACTGGCAAATCAAATCAGAGAAATATGGACATGGTTATCTTAATATTAGTCGTTCCGCTACAAAAAAAAGCATTTGACATTCATTGACTGCGAAGCCAGTATTACTCTCGTTTGAAAAATAAAATCTCTCTCTTAAAACAATTTTTCGGGAAAATAAGGTTCTCAAGGACAGTGACTGTTATAGCTCTTTCCAATACTCAAAAGGGTTTAGTTCCTAAACTTTTATACAACATTGTGGCGTGTATATAATATTATATAACATCACAATTATCTGACAGGAGATATACGACAAACTCAAAATAATTCAGAAAATGAACGCGGCCGCATCGGTTCTGAATGTCGTCTAACTTTTGTGTTTGATGTTAATGACCGAAACCTTTCGAAAGCACGGAAACTTAAAAAGAATTAAGAGGAACGGAGGACAGCTCCTTTACAGCAAGATAGGGAATTTAATCCGCCCAGAAGAAAATCTTATTAAAAAATACCATATAAAAATTTTGGTTTGTGAGATCATTTCCTTTCAGATATTCAAAATGGCGCGTGCAAATACAAGCACACACACACACGCACACGCACACACACACACACACACACGCCCATATATATATATATATATATATATATATATATTAGTACCTCACACGCTACAAAAACATATATATATAAACGATATAAATTTTATCGTTAAATATATATATCATTTTTAAGAAGAAATATATTTTTATTATAAAAATTTTTATAAAAAATTTTATTTAAAATGTTGTTTATTTCTGTCATAAAATATAAAAAAGTATTTTTTTCTAATTTTGTAAACAAGTTAAAATCCTCGTTTATTTTTGGTATAATTATACAAAAAATCAATTCTACGTTTTTCAAAATTTATTTGACTAAAATTAGCAAATTTAAAGATTAGTTAAAATATTTTGAAAGAAGCTTTTATTATTTTTTTCGAATAAAAAAATTGTTCGAAATAAAAAGTAAGCGATCTGAACTGTGTTGTCATTTCTCTGACAAGTATATATATATATATATATATATCATATATATATATATATATATATTAGTAGATAATAAAAAAACAAAAATTAGCATTCCAATTTCCTTTATTTTGTTATTTTATTATTACTGGAACTTAAAAACATAACTTTGTTGATACTATCTATTGTTACGAGGAGATTTCATAATAAGGATTCCTTTGAGTTCTACTTGTTACAAAAAAAGTTTTCACGTCGAAGTAGTTGTAAAATAGAGAAATTAGAAATAGAATGTTTGGAAGATTCTAGATCATTCTAGTATATTCGAGAAAAATCTAGAAATATGTTAGGTGTCTTTTTGTAAAGGGTTGTCAATGAGTAAACTCCGGCTTTTGATTCAAGGACTATTATATCCAGCCGAAAGAATTTATAAAAAGTTGCCGACCAACCAAAAACCCAAAAGAGAATTTCATGGAACAAAGTTGGTAAATAGAATTTTGATAATTTTCAAAAAAATTAATATTTATTTACACACCTTTGTGGAAAATATAGCACTTAGATTATCGCTCTAAAGTATTTGACGGTAACACTTGCCAGTAACGTGTTTTCTGTTTTGTAGGCTAGCCTGTATATGTTTTGTTCTGTTTTAGTAAATTAAATATTTGTTTGTGATTTAGCTTGTTGTGGTAAATCATTTTTTTTTCCTTTGTTACAATTATCAACACGTAACACTAGAGATAATAAA